CAGGATTGTTTTCAAGCCAGTGTCCTGCCTCCCACATCCTAGTCATGATTTAGTTAAGGCTAATAATAATAATAATTCAGAGGCACCAGATGCTCCTAGGCTTCTGACTATGCAGGTGAGAGACAATTGTCTTCAGTTTCACAGGCATGCTTGCACCATGTTCTAGCAACCCACCACCCAGCCTGGAGTGGGCATGTTTAGCCAACTTTTGGTTTCCACTAGGCAGCCATTCATTGAAACAGCCAATGAAACCACTCGCTAAGTTCTCAAACTTCTCACAGTGGCATCGATGCGAATAACAAAACAAAACCCAAATCCATAATTTCAGTTGGGCAGCCGCATGAAAAGCTCAGCTTAAATGAAATGCTCATAAAACCTTAAGTTAAATAGGTCAGACTTGTCAGGCGGAGATCTCGCATGCTAACTTCCAACAAAGTGAAATTGCGCTGCAGGAGGCTCTGCTTCTAATGGAATTACTGACGGGTGGAGAACAATAGCTAGGCAGGTATGCGGACAAAATCTCTCCTTGCAAACACTGCGATTACCACATTCAAGGGGCTGTGGCAGACACAAAGCTCAGTCATCTAAGGAAGGGTTTACTGTACCAATTTAAAGTTCCCTTCTCCTCCCCCATTTTGCTCCCAAATGTGCATATGAGTTAGAAACATCCTGAATGGCTTGCAAAGGCACTCCAAATTCAGCACATAACTATACTTCCCTCCCTCTTCTTATCCTGTTTTGTTTGACCATTGCCCTCACAGTAGATTTTTCTCTGATGCCTGGAATTTACCCTACATAGAAGAGTTAATATGTGGCTTATTTGTCTCTCAACACTAAACAGGCATTCCTGAAATTATAGCAAAGTTGGAGAGGAACAAAACAAGAATCAAACCACAAGTCCCTGTTCATTGTGCGGCCCTCTGTAGCTGCAGGAATCAAAGGCCACTGCTTTGAGGCCAGGTGACAGTGCAGCATTTTGCAGATACAACAAGACATGTTGGAAGCGACCATCGATGGCTGTTTATTTATCCTGGTTGGAGAACTCTGGTAGGGTCAGAACAAACATCTGCCATATTGTTGCAAACTCCAAATGGAAGCTTCTTTTTTCCTCCCCATAATGCGCTGGAAGGGGGGGGGCAGGGATGATCCTAAGGCAGGCCTCTGCTCTTTCTCATTAAAAAAAGGATGCTCTGCTGTTACATCTGACTCTAGACCTTAACTTAGTACTCTCCTTACAGGTCTTGTTACGTGTTCTTCATAGTTTCTAAGCCGGGGGTTGGGGAGAGGGAAGAGACTCCAAAAACGGGAGCCAAATTTGCTATGTTGCCATAATAAAGGTCTCTTCCCGATTTAGCTTTCCCCCCTCCCCCGCCTCTCTTTTGTAGAAATGTTAGCATGTCTGCATATTCAGGACTTTGAGCAAACAATAATTAGCTCACTGCCTTGAAATACCTCTGTAGATAATTTGAATTTTTCCTGCTAATACCTTCTCTTTTATTACAAGCCACTTCCTGCTGAAATTCCATCTCATACTAAGTACACCAAAGTGAGAAAATCGTTCGCTGTGACTGTGCATTCATTGGCGCGGCTCTCTTGATCACAGAGGCAGGTGCTGGAAAGGGAATGGCCGGGTCAGGTCACGCGTGAACTGTGAAGCGGCGGATAACGTCCTGGTTCTTTAGCGTCCCCCCCCCCTTCCTCAAGGACTGCCTCTCCTCATCCTCTCCACGGAGGCTTATTGGAGGAGATGTGGCCTCTGATACACCACTGAGATGCCAATGCTTAGGTACCCCTTTCTCGGCACCACTTCAGGCCGCTGCCTGCCTGCAACCTAACAGGATGGTCAGCTGGTGTGCTTGAAACGGTGATTGGGAGGGCTACACCTTGTTCTGATTGCGAGTCCAAAAAGCTATTGAGAGCGTAAGACAATTACACCTGATTTTACAAGTGCTATTTCTCTGAAAGGCATGGCGTGGACTCAAAAGGCTGCTGCAATCTGGACATCAGGCAGCAGATGAGTGGGCTGTGCAATTTCTTCTGTAGCCCCATTGCACTGGCGGTACCAAAGGAGGGGGAAACCTAAGCCAAGGCTTGCAGCTTAGTGTCGGTTATGAAAAAGAAAACAAGAGAATGCATTGCTATGCTGCAAGATCACACTTTCCTCAGTAACAGGGGTGCCAAATATATTCTAATCCCGCAGTCTGAAAATGCAAGTGGCATATGCCGCCCTCTGGGCAGAGGTTTCACCACCAACAGAAGACATACTTGTTCATCCAGGCTTTCTTTAATAGGATTCATTTTGATGCTTATTTTGTTTGGATTTGTTGTGTTTTATTATTGTTGCGTGAACCACTTTGGTACTGCCTTCTGCAAATAAGAAGCGGTATAGAAATCTTATTTTAAAAGATCTATTTAACTAAATCCATATACCATTTGATTGCAGTGAGATCTTTAAGAGGTTTACAAGAGATGTTAAAATTATCAGCATAAAACCGCTAAAGCAATTCAAAATATTAAAAATAATAATTAAAATTAAGTGAAAGAGATTAAAAATACACCAACATTTATGTTTCTGGATAGGCTTACATGAACAAAACCTACATCATCATGAGTTATTATAAGACCAGGGATTCTAAACAGACTAAATTGGGAGTCAACTTCTCTTGTCGTGTCAGAAACTGGCAGAACATGCTCCGTTGGTAGATGGTTCAGTCACATACCTTCTCTGCCCACCCTTCTGGTCGCTTGCATCACATCTATATACCGTATTTTTTGCTCTATAAGACTCACTTTTTCCCTCCTAAAAAGTAAGGGGAAATTTGTGTGCGTCTTATGGAGTGAATGCAGGCTGCGCAGCTATCACAGAAGCCAGAACAGCAAGAGGGATTGCTGCTTTCACTGAGCAGTGATCCCTCTTGCTGTTCTGGCTTCTGAGATTCAGAATATTTTTTTTCTTGTTTTCCTCCTCCAAAAACTAGGTGCGTCTTTGTGGTCTGGTGCGTCCTATAGAGCGAAAAATACGGTATATATATCTCCCTTGGGTGCCTCAGGGGCACCCAAAAGCTGTCACCTGCGGCAGCTGGTTTGTCATAACATTCGTTCACAAAAGTGACCAGCCTTGTTCCTAAGCAAGCAGGCAACCTTGCAACAGTTCAAGCAACTTTGCTCATCTCCCTTTTTTTGCCTGCGTGCGCCTGTACATGCGTCTGTCTCTGTCTCTGTCTGTGTGTGTGTGGTTAAGCTTTTTTGATCAGACCTAACAAAGGTGCTAATGTATTATTAAAGCTAATGGAGCTCTACAAGAAATGTTAATGGACATTAAGTTTGCATAAATGAATTACACATTAGCACAGTAGCAAGACAGCTACAATCTGCCAATTTAGGCAGTATCTGATGGTTTTTGTTTTCCCATTATGGGGACATTACTCCCCCAATACTTTGGGGCGATATGAAAATTGTAAGCAGAATGCTCATAATGGAACAACATAATGAAGTAGAAGAAATAAATTAACACAGGGGCTTCTTTGTGTAATGTTATGGTTGAGCTGCATATACAAAAGACATTTTGAATCACCATCTCCTGATCGCCCTGCTTCATTTCTGCTCCTCTGTGAACATGAAGAGGTACTGGGGGGCTGATGCCAGGTTGCTGCTCTTCCTTGTTTTCAAATGAATGATGTCACACTGCTTGGGTCCCTTCCCATCCCAGAAAGAGGCCAGCCATTTCTGCCACAATTCTCAGCATTATTTCAGCATAAGAAACAAACAAGGAATATGCAGATGCCAAGGCACTCCGGAACGGTAAGAGACCTCTGGCGCTCTGACTGAAACTGAAAGACACAGCTTAAGCAAATAAACAATCCAGCCAGTGGGATCCACTTTAAAGCATCCTGTAGTAACAATTCTTACATAACGGCACATACACTATCAACAATCCCTACGATAGCCCCGTAAGATAGGGCAGGATTGACATGCCCAAAGCTTCCAAAAGTGGAGTTCCGTGGAGCTCCTAAAAAGGGAGACATATTCATCTTGTCAGATGGAGTGACAGCTGGTCCCACTCCAGCATAATTTGGTTGCTAACTTGTACTTGCTGCTGCACAATGCTTGAAACAGCTCATAACCAGAACCAGAATGGCTTACCTAAATGTCACCTGGGTAGTTCATGGCTGAGGTAAGACCTAAACACAGGGGTTTCTGCCTCACAGCTTCTAGAGTAGATGAAGAAGTGTGCGGAATTGAGCCGTAGTCACTAGACTCTACTGGCACTCCATTTTAAAAATAATTATATTTTTCATCAATACATTTTTTTCCAATTCACTATAAAATTATTTTACAAATTATTTAAACTTTGACTTCCCTTCCGCCTATCCATGGTTTCCTTCTAGCTTTCCATTTTTTCCTGCATATTGCAGTCCCTCCATACTTTCTCTTTCTCACTTTATCTCCATGTATTTTATACTGCTGAATTTATTCTAATCCTGCTAACGTTTTAACCTGTTTGCTGTAATTTTTCATATACTCTACATGCATTTTCCAATTCTCCTGATATACTCTGCCTTCTTGTTCTCTGATTCTGATGGTTAGACCCACTGACTCTACCGGCACTCCAATCTGTTCTAGGATTTCATGTCTTTGTAGACAGCATTGATACATGTGTTTGTTTGTTTTTTGTAATAATAATAATAATAATAATAATAATAATAATAATAAACCTTGACACACTTCCATGTTAATATTTAAATGCTTAGTTCACATGTCTTGAGGCAGCTCTGCACTGATAGCAAAAGAACAGATGATGAGAAATAGTTTGTCTTCAAAAAGAGCAGGGAAAGAATGCCTTAAACCCAAATTCAATACTTTAAACCTCTCATTTAATCAAATCAGATAAACAGCTTTTGCATGCTACAACAAACCATAATTGTCTAATCAATCGCTTTGGTAAAGCCACGTCCATGTGTGGGGCAAGGGGGGGGGAGGGTTGTGACTCTGGTACTCACACATTACATCTAGGTAGTACTTGGTCTGCAAGTCTTTGACGGCAGGATGGTCTACCTGACAGACAACAGCAACCCCATCATCCTCTCGCTTGACCTTCAACGAAAGGCGACTGGTCACTGTAAACATGTCTGACCACTGCTCCTCTTCTGTTTTACCTGCATAATGGACATGAAAGGGGAGGAAAAGGAGCAGGTAAATGGGAAATGACTAGACCCATGCCATATCTATCCAAGACCATCCTCCATCGCTGCATTTGTGTTGTCGTTTTCAACTGAAGTCACTTCTGCAATCTGTACTCATCTAGTAGCGACTTGCCTCGTTCAGCTTATCTATTCCAGAGCTTCTCTCCACTTCTGCAATTCTTAAATAGTTCAACTATGAATATGCTGACCTATTCATAACCCCCAACAGGCATATTCTTGCAACCTTATTCTCTGTTTTTATTTGCACATTCCTATAATCTGTGGGTGTTTGTAGGATGGCAACACCTGCCTTTCATTGTTACTTTCCTACCTACATACTTATTGGATTAATTTGTGGCACACTGATGACCTGCACAAAATAAAGGGAAACAACTCATTTTTTAGTTGACAAGCAGCTTCTCTGCCTGGTGGTCAGGAGGCAATTCTTAGTTGGCAAAGGTGGCCAGGTGAGTGGCTGTTTACCTGCCATATACAGCAGGGGTGGGGAACCTATGATCCCACAGATGGCGAACTCCCATCATCCCAGATTATTGGCCATGCTGGCTGGGGCTGATAGGCGTTGGATTCCAGAAACATCTGAAAGGCCAGAGGTTTCCCACATCTGGTATATACAGGGATACAGAGGGAAAAGAGGAAAGCTGGTATCAAAGTTAAGCAAACAGTTTTGCAATGGAGTAGGGCTGGCAAGGCCCTTTTTCAAGTCAATCACAAGGAAAAGAAGCCTGCGAGTTCTTATTCTCTTATTGGCTTCCAGATTTAAAGGGGGGGGGCTATCTCCTGCTCATGATATTAAACACAAAATCTACAGCGCTCGGCAGCGAGGATTAGGAATTCCAGGATGCCTTCCAAACACTTAAGTCAATGGAGCCAGAAATCCTCCACCCTCTTCCTCCAATGCCACTGCCAAAAGCCATCATCAATAATTAAGAGGGAAAGTGACTCCATGGATTTACATAATTAAAAGTAGTAATTAAAATATTTAAACAGTGGTACTGTTGAAGACCCAGCAAAATACAGCAGCAACGGGCTGAAACAGAAGCAAAAGCAGCCTGTGCAGGGCATCCTGCCAAAGGGAAGCCAATTTCAACAGGCAGGGTAATTTCAACAGGTAAGGGAGAGCAGGGAAACGCCTGGGATTAAAGCGGAAAGGCTTCCCAAAAATTTGAGACGCCTGGCTTACTTGTCAAGGAGGGGTCTATCACGAAACCACAACTCGTGCTCCAGATCAACTGACAAAGCTACTCCACATTATAAAAAGACCACACCATTCATTGCTCTGCACCCTTTCTGAACTGATTTTGCCTGGCTGGAATGTGTCCTTTGCTATGGCAGTGCCTCTAGCTTGCCTGGAGGATGGAGATGGTGTATGTGTGTTAGCGGAGGGGGGGACATAGGAATCTCTGGCTTTTGCGTGGTTTGAATGTGACCTACTGGGGGTAAGAGTCACACCTTTTGCTCTGCCCACTTGCTGTCTCTGGTCCCACCTACCCCTGGCATGCAGCCCGCAGAAGGTTGCCCATAATGAAATGCAGCTCTCAGGCTGAAAAAGATTCCCTTCTGCTGTTTTGAGTTATTCTCTCACATCATCACGAGGGTATCCTGCTTATCAGCAAAACCATCTCTAAAAAACCACAACCACACCATTAAGTTGATTGAGGGAGAAGGGGGTCTACCAAATAGCTCCTTGTTGCCTTTAAACCATCTGATCACTGTGGGTGGTCTGCTGGCCAACGATGTGCAATTCAGCTCAATTTCTTCTCCTTCCACTGTGGTCTCCTTCTGGGCTTCGATCCTCAAGTTACGTGGTGGGACTAGAATGAAACAGCATACAGATATATAAAGATCTCAGCATGTTGTTGTCTTTCATGACACCTCCAAGAAACTGAACATGTGGGATAGCTGCTGGACAGATTAGAGGTGGATCAGCTGCCTCATAGAAGGTCCTCTTCAACATACAATTTTGATTAAGGGAACACTTTGTAAACGCATCACCATCTGCAATAATTCTAACAGATCAAACATATTATAAATGCATCTTTAAAGTAGCACCCTGCTTTCGCCCTCCATTTGAATGTAAATTCCACATTTCCTATTCCAAAAATAATTAGCAAAAAATAGAGTAAAACAAACTAAGGGAGATTCAGGATTTTCAGACCGAGAGGGAAAGAAGAGGGTCGTTTTCCAAAGAAAATAAATGAAATGCAACCCAACACGAATAATAGATTCTTGCATCAGAGAGCATTATTACAGAGAGAGCATCTTTCCTTCCTTTCAGGCATGTGTTCAGCACAGCTAAGTCATTTTTTTTATTTTATTTTATTTTTTTGTGAAATCCAAAGCCAGAGGGTTGAATTGATCAATGAAATATAATCTGATAGAGTCTGGAGCAGAAGAGAATCTGAAGCATAACCAGGGCCTGCCCAAGACATTTTGGCACCTGAGGCGAACCACAAAAATTGATACCCCCACCCCCGCCAGGGAAGAAGAGGTGAGTAAAGATCGAAACCAGGAAGAAGGGGGGGGGAATAAGATGCTGGGAGTAGACCAGCAGCATCTCCTATTCATTGAGAGACCCTCGTAGAGGTGGTATGAGGGGAGTGCTGAGGAGGTGGCAGATCTGGCCTCCAAGAAGCACACCACAGTCATTGGTGCCACTGTGGCAGTGGAAGCAGCAGGGAGCAAAACATTCATTGGAGGCTGGATCTGCTGCCCCTGAGGATCCTGCCGCATGAGGCAGTGTCCTACCCTTGCCTCATGGGCAGGCTGGCCCTGAGCATAACTACAGCATCACAAAGTCCACCAAAATGTATAGATCTTTCCGTTATCCTCTTCCCCACCTTCCTGCAAACAGGGTGGGTGGGTGAGAATGGATGGGATAGGCGTTTCCCCCCCTTCTATTTTATAATCAGTAAAGAGAATGTTAACACAGTTGCCTGCTGGTACTGTGTTTATTAAATCAAGCATTAAAATAAAGATTTAAATGGATATTGTTTATAAATGAGTAGACCCATTTTCTTCATTGTTTTTGCTGTTATTGTACTAATGAAGCAGTTGCGCAATTCAGGTGTGAATAATATGTTCTGTTCTCTCCCCACCCACCAAAGCGCAGGTAAGGAAGTGTGCACAAAATGAATTGTGCAGATAATAAATTAGTTGTTTCTGGTCCATAAACAAGTGAATGGCATGGCATCTTCAAAAAATCAAAGGGAGGAGGAAGCACAAGGGTCAACAAGGCATGAAAGTCCCCTGTGGAATAGCAGGTGATGTCTGGTCTTCCCCTTGCCCCCCACTTGCAAATAAGTTCCTACCCCCAAGAATGTAGGTGAAACTCAAAGCCATGTGATGCATGCTGGACAGGTCAGCCCAAGTGTGTATGTGTGTATGTGTGTGTACATATACACACTGCCATGTTGCTCCTCCATCTGCCTGAGTCTTTCAGGCAGTCAGGGGAAAAGCATCCCCGGAAACATCTCAGCAGAAATGAGTGTGTGTGTGTGTATGTGTGTGTGTCCACGCGCACGCACACTTGCTATCTTAGTTTGGGAAACATGAGAATAAAAAGCTCTCTTAATGCAGCGGTGTTAGGAAACAACTCTCAAGAGTGAAGGTAGCCGAACTTGAAATTCATATTAAAGGCTAATTTTAAATACCTTTTCAACACATATTAACATACTACAAACTGGAACTCATTAAATTGCGGGGGTGGAGGGTGGAGAGGGATGAGTAAGAGCGGAGAACCTATATACCTAATCAGCAAGTGTGATCTCACTTGGTGATTGCTTGTTGCAATTCAGGTTCGTTACTGGAATGTTAGGAGACAGCATTAATCTGGAGCTACGGCTGTTATGGTATTAGCAACTATTATCAGTGGATATGATAATCCCATAGTTATGCCTGTTCTGTAATCTTCTGAACTATGAGAAATGGAATGAGACACACACACACACACACACACACACACACACACACACGACAAACTTAAGGACTGGTGTCTGACAGACACCATATGCCTCGAAGAAGAGAGGAGGGGGAGGGTGTTTCTCGAATATAATTTGCAGTAGGGGTTGAAGCAACAATTTGGCTGCATTTGGGTTCAAATCCCCCACTTTATCACTTGAATATCTTCAGAAGCCTGGACAGGAAAATCCTCTCCTGCGTCATATGCTGGAGAGTTGCTGCTCCATGAATTATACAGAGTAGGAATGAAGGAGTCACGGGGTTTGATTCTATCAATCCATCCATCCAAACAAATGTACATCTGTACGGAGCTCCTTATAACATTTCAGTGTCAAACCTGTTACCATCCCAGCCCCAACTGGGCAATAGGGAGCACAACAAAATAGGGTGAGGGTTTAGGGTACCAGGCATATCAAGGAACACCCAAAGGGGTTGCCAACTATACCAGAGTTTGGCATCCTCACCTAAGATGGGTATGTGCTAAAACACCTTTCAGAATCTGGATGTAGCTAAACTACAGCTCCCATCAACCCTTACTACTGGCCATGCTGGCCGAAGCTTATGGGAACTGCAGTTCAACAGCACCTGCAGGAAACCAGATTGGTGTAACCTAGGTATTTCTGCCCTTCGGAACCATCTCTATTGTCTTTTAGGCACTTGCTTAAGACTTTCTTGAAAGAGGAAAGTGGTGATTGTTATACTACTTAGTATCAGTTCTGGATTTGAAAATGATTTTACATTTGCAATGGCTGGTTTTTAGAGATTGCTTCATATGGAATTTGGATTTTTAAAAAAATATTTTTATATATACACTTGTTTTAAGGCTATTTTTATTGTATTGTAAATTGCTTCAAGACGCCTTATAGGAAACAATTCATAAATGAAACTAATAATAACTATACAGTCGTACCTTGGATTCTGAATGCCCTGGAACTCGGACGTTTTGGCTCCCAAACGCCGCAAACCCAGAAGTGATTGTTCTGGTTTGCAAATGTTCTTTTGGAACCCGAACATTCAACAGGGCTTCAGCGGCTTCTTATTGGCTGCAGGAGCTTCCTGCAGCCAATCAGAAGCCACAATTTGATTTTTGAACGTTTTGGAAATCAAACAGACTTCCGGAACGGATTCCGTTCGACTTCCAAGGTATGACTGTAATTAGTAATAATATGGATTTACAGTGCAATCCGATGCACGTTTACTCAGAAGTAAGTAGCCTATGTTCAGTGATATTCCTTTCCAAGCAAGGTGACTGCAACCTCAGTTTTCCTTCCTGTTAATTCCAGCAAGAATATGAAATACAACCTTTAGTGAAAAACAGCTTTGAGTAAACACATTTTACATCTAATAATTTTAACACTTCGGCAAAAGATGGAAGTGTGCAATGGTATATATATGGGGACAATATGATTACATACCCAGCTGGAAAAAAACAGAACTAAGAACAATATAAATATTGCCCATTATTTTACACTGAGAATATGGTCCAGCATTTGTGGGCTACAATTAAGCACACAGAGATCCTTAGAAGCATCATCACCCTGCCAAGAGGTGTAACTTCCTGCACATGCATATAATGCTTGATTTTTTCACATTGTAGCACAGACTGTAACACAGAAGCTGTTACATTACCCATCATGCCCTTTATTAGATAGTCTCAGAACTCTAAAAATAAACAGAGAGGTTTGGAATAAAGCAATGAGTGCAGCCAAGAGTGTTTTGTCAAGGGACTAAATACTCACACCCTAATTGGCAAATATTTCTAACTTCTGTAATGGGTTTTGATAGAAGCTTGGATTCATGGGTGCAAATGTAAGGGTTTGGGGGAGCACAGAAGAATATGAGCTAAAGTAATTGCCTGGAAAACCACAAATGACACTCCAGACAGCTGTTGCCAGGGGAACAGTTATTTGCAACAGCTTCCTCCAGAATTTATGGGTTTGCCCACCTCCTGCCATTCTCCTCCATGTCTGGATAATGCCTTATGTACATGCATGTAAGGCAATACAAGTGTGTGGTAGATGAAGGCAACTTGGAACACATGATGAAGTAGTACATTTTGGGAGCGTGAAGCCAAGAATTCTTAATGTGTGTCTGCATGCTGACTTTCCCAGGTACAATTCTGTGGATTAGGGTCCTAAGGTTTTAACAACAAATCTTCTGGGTTTTTCTTCTTCTGACACTATCTTCATCCATCCCAAGACATGAAAAGGTGTGCTGCTGTCTACAGAACATTGCATGAGAAACAGCCCCAGTAAGGAGGATTTATTTCAGTGCCCGTGTTGAAGGCGAGATGGCTATAAAGCAGGTTTTAAAAATGTCCAAGAATCTGCTTTTTCCTCCCACCACCTTGCCACTCCCAAGTGAACTAAAGATGGAGTCTGGGGCTGACTGGTCCTTACCAAGCACTGTAATCGTCATAAAGTATTCCTGTGGGGGGTCCGTGTAGAGTTGGCAGAAGTATCTTCCTTCATCCGAAATGGAGACATTCGTCAGTGACACTCTGAGCTCACTGCTAGAGAAATTCACTAACTGAAACCTGCTGTCCTTCAAAGCTGTGGAACAAAGATACAATTAAAAACGGCAATGTTATGAGACATACAGTGCTTCCCTCCCAGAGAAAACAGTGAAAACCAGAAGCCTGGAGAGGTGGCAGCAGCGTTGACATGCAGTTGCAATACCACCCTCTTTTTCACATCCTGTTATTTTGGCTCATTATGTTACAATCTGGAAATAAACAATACTAGTACTCATCAATCAATACAAATAATCTAAACAAAAGCCCCATATCAAGTACTGATAATTACTCTCCCCCTTCCTGTCTACTTGCTCAAAGCTGCAGAAAGCCTTTAACAAATGAGCTGCTACAACATACAGAGCCCCGTTTCCCAGGCATTCCCAACCTGATGCCCTCCAGATATCTTTGACTGCAAGGTCCATCAGCCCCAACCAGCATGACCAATGACAAATTGGGTGGGGAGCAATATCTGGAGGGTTCCAGGCTGGCAAAGGATAGATGGACGGAAAGCCCACAAACAGAGATTTCACAAATTAAACTTGAGATTGTTTATCACATGTGGGGAGAATGTTTAAGCAAACAACTTCCAGCAGAACATTGGTTTTGCCAATTCATCGGAAACATTTAATCAAGCAACACAAAGCTGGAGAGATGCATTGCAGGCTCTTCCGAGGTCCAGAAGTTTACAAAGTTAGATAAAATATATTAATCAAATAAATTGTTGGAAGTTTTCTGATGTTTTTAATACAACACCAAGTAATTTCTGGGACCAGAAGAACATGCATCAGTTCAAACACAGGCACATTCCTACTTCTACTAACCCCTAACAAATCTACTATCTACATCTCCCCCACCTATCCCAACATATCAAAAGAATAAAGAGAGGTGGGGGGAGAAGAGCACCATTCGTTTCTTAGCTCTTCATTCCAAGGGCTAGGTAATATACCTCACCAGCTCCTCCATGATGCCATGTTTCACTATCAGCCCTTTTGTTAGTCTCCAGACAAATTACGAAAATTTCTCCAGATTTCCCCTCCTTGCTTAGGGCACATGGCTGTTTGCAGAAGGATATCTCTGTCCCATTATTCCTGGCCTCACCTAATGCATGATTTCCAATTTTGGGGAAAAAATGTGTCCCTGCAAAAAGAAGCACTCAGAAGAACCAAGTTTTGTGGCCTGCTGACATATCCATGTCAATTTGCTCCAAAATATTAGGGGCCATATTGTTCCTAACTATAAATGCCATTTTAAAAAGGATGGGAGACAGGGCAGTCCCAGGAGAAAGATGGCTCGTGTCTACTAACCTTGGGCTATAAACGACCCCGTATATCTTAGTTATATTTTCCTAGAAAGTAGGCAAAGATTCCAAGAGCACTCAATTTGAATTATAACAGCGTCTCTTATTGATAAGGTTTTAAACACATGTTCAAGACCATCCTAACATCATTCTTCAGTTGGATTAAGGAAGGATTGGCTTGAACATTCCAACCACAGAGCCAAACACATCTCCTTATCCAATGGTAAGCACATCCTGCTTTGCCCTATTCGATTTGTTTGTGTCAACTAAATATTTTGGCACTTAATTGCAATTCAGAATGAATTACTGTGGTCAATTCCTCTTGCACTGCAAGATGGTCTGACTCTTAAAAAGGTCTATAGCTAGTCTTTCCATTAAAGCAAGTGATTATGATTGCCTGCCTTTGCCTACTTACTGAAGAATTGACTAAACCTTTAAAATGTCTGACATTAAATTAAAAGGAGCCCTCAGCAACCTCTTTATCAAGATTTGCCAAACAACACAGAACTCACGTCTGAAGTCTCTGAAATAAATCGTCTGTCTATTGGGATTCAAGAGCTGAATCACGGAGTCATCACTGTTTCTGACTTTGCAGCTGATGGTGGCAACTTCTCCCTCTACGACGGTCACATCTTCTGTAACCAAATTCTGTCCATCACCTTAAGATATTAAAGAAAAAGAAAAAGACAGGACAGGTCAACTCACATTCAGTCAATATGGAAGCCAAATACCCTCTCACCCCCCGCAAATGCAGCAAATTAGTTGTGAATTGGACACATGAAGACCTGTGGTTAAGTGAAGACCTGGTGCACAGTACCCCTGACTAACACTGATTTGTCAGTTGCATTCACACACACACACACACACACAAACTCTTTTGCTGGATGGGGTGAACAGCAACTTGCCTCAGGGAAATACGTGGTAGGAATGCTTGCCTCTCATGTCTGGCACCAGAGCCATCTTACCCATAGGCGCTAGGGGTGCGGGGCACCTGGGCGCTGGGCTCTCAGGGGTGCCAGGCCGAGAGTCTGGGGCTCGAGAGTTGAGTCTGGGGGAAGAGCCCACCCGTCGGTCAGAGCACCGCAGTGGGCTCTTCTGCGGGTGGCTCTGTGTCGTGAGTTTGGGGGTGACTGAGCCAGTGAAACACTGAGGCAGCCAGCTGGCTCCGCCCTCCTGCGTGCCTGGGACTGGGCAACCGTGGGGCACCGAGCGAATCTTTGCACCCCGGTGCTGCATATGCTTAAGACAGCCCTGTCTGGCACCACCTCTCCCTGCAGCCATTCCCTCTGCAATGGTCTCAGACTAACAACATGCTAAGGAAGTAGTGGAACTGTGCAATACTTTATCATATTGGTATTTTAAGGCTGCCAGTAAATCAAAACTCATTGAAAACTTAGTATCTGTTGCATTGTACCAAACAACCTAAACACACCAAGGACAAATTCTCATAGTGTCTTACTATAAGGATTATCACCTTCAACATTTTGGATATTAAAAGCTTCTCCCAGCTAAATGATTACAGCCATTTTATCCATTGGAAGTTAGAAATCTTAAAACAGCAAGTAGGACCCTTTCATAAGAGAGTGCTGATTAAAGATTCATATTCTAATTCACTATTGATTTTAGATAAAATTTTAATTTATGCACTACTTAACCACACAAAAATGGAGTTCAAAATAGCTCACACAACACAAATTCAGTTCATTATTTGGTACTTTCCTTTCAGCAGATGCATACATTACACACCTGATAAGTACCTTGTGTGCAACAACAGCATCCTAAGGCAGCTGTTCTGCTTTAAAGAGGATGGGGGCAATTGGGACCCCTCCTGTTGCACATGCCAGGGGCTCTGATGACACACTAGTCACCTGTGACAGAGCAACACCTGCTGTTTGATCAGAAAAGCAGCTCAGCAAATCAAAGCTGAACATGTTAAAACTGGGGAAGTGCATGTATGGGCCTTTCTAATAAAAACCATATTCTCAAGGACAGAACTATTAAATGCATTGGGCACCACAGATATAGCTGGAAAAGCTTCATTAGAAGGATGAGCAGAAAGACAGACACAGATACCATAATTATTTTGCTAAAAATAGGAGATGCTGCTTCTGCAGACAGGCTATATCTGGAAGCACCTGAAAGGTAATCCCATCTGGCTGTGAAAACATAACCCCTGGGAGAGACCTCGGAGGGGTGGGTGTGAGACGAGCAGATCTCTTCTTGAGACTTAAAAACAAAACAAAAAACCCCAACAAGACATGCATATGAGCAGGGGTGCCAACTTGAATAAAATAGGGGGCACAGGTAAGCACACACCATTTGAATGGCAATGCTCACCAACTTTGGGGGGCCCGCCCCCCTCAAATATTTTACTGGGGTTGAGGGGACCTTGGCTCCTATGCATATGAGAACACATATCCTCACACACACACACACAAATATCTCAAGCACCACAGACTGAAAAATCTAAAACAAACTGATTAACGAAGTTGCAGCAAAACACAAATCAAGGCTAAGGAAGGGGCAGAAGAGTAGAGAGCTCATTTCCAGGGTGCCACAGCTTTTAACTGTGTGTCTCAGTGATGGGCTAAAAGGCAGAAGGTTGCACCTCACAAAGCATTTTTGGTTGGTCTCTTTTAGTTACCGCAGCCTTCATTGTCTGTGCCTCATTTCCTTTACTATGGAACATAGACCTTTATGTAAATGTGCTTTTACACTGGGTACATTCCTTTATTTATTTTTTTCATTCCAGCAGTTTATCGAGGACCCAATTATGCACTTCTAGACCTAGCAGAAACTGCACTGACTATTAAGTACCCTGTTTACGGCTCCCTTCTTTCCTGAAAGCTCTGCACATTTTGCTGCAGAAGCCCGACTCTGTGTTCACGGCAGGAATCTGTCAAGTCAAAAAACTCAACAGCCACCACCTGCCTGTTTGCGATGGGCCTTGTGTAGTCACTGAGTAAGATTTTCAAATAAAAAGGGGTCAGGTATGCATTGAAAACTGCATGGGGGAAGTTGATCGTTTTTCTCCCTCTCATAACACTAGCACTTGTGGTCATCCACTGAAGCTGATTGTTGGAAGATGCAGGGTAAATAAAAGGAAGTACTCATCAAGCAGCACATAGTTAAAACTATGGAATTCACTCCCCATAGGAGACAGTGGAACTCACTCCCCATAGGAGACAGTGATGGCCACCAACTTGGATGGCTTTACAAGAGGATCAGACAAATTCATGGAGAAAACGGCTATAATGGCTACTAGTTTCGATGACAACAATGCAGCAAAATCCAAGATTACAAAGAATTTCCTAGAGCGGACATATTTCATTTTTTTCAATGTTCATCCCAAGCAATAGCTAAGGACATCAGAAGAGACCTACAGTCCTTGATAGCTTCATTTCCCCGTTATAACACTGGAGGCAGTTGGGGGGGGCGATGAGTAACCCCAGTGGAAAAATTTGGACACCCCCAAAGTTGTTGAGCTTTTTAAGGAAAACCCAAAAGCTTTATTAAGACAACTTGGGAAGGTGTTATGGTGCGCTTACTATCAAGAAGGAGTGGGTGGGATCAGTAAGGCATGGGAGCTTCCTGCTCTTAGAGGCCAAGTGCAATAGATACATTCGACATGACAGCTTAATTTTCCAAGGCAATTCGCTGTCACAGCCTCCCTCCCTGTACACAACAGAGGAATCACCACCACCGATGTAGCAATTGCACTGAGCACAACGACTGGCGTGTAGTTGGTACCAGGCTACCCAGTACATCAAAGCCAAGCAAATTCTCAAATCAAAGGAACCAAGATTAAATTTATACTTTGCTGGCAGCAGGCAGGCACCGAGGAAGTACGTGCAAAATATTTGAGGGAAAACTTATCACAAGACATTGCCTAAAACAGAGTAAAAAAGGTAGCTCCATCTGATTGCACTTGTTTTCAGAGCCCAACTTCTACTTACTCTATTTAAATCAGCAGGTGATGCTTTGATAGTCCAAAAGCAGAGAACAAAATAAATTCTTCCATTCAGTTACCCAGTGAGCTAGGTAATATTTTACTGTCAGAAGCTCTGAATTCCCCCCTCCTACACCTTTTAATGAACTGAAGCCAGTGTGTCAGCAGCAATATCTAGGTTAGAGTATTAAACAATGCAGAAATGGGGGGTGGGGCGGGGGAAGAGAAGCACAGCTCTGCATTCTACGTTCTGCATACTGCCGCTTCTGCTTCTCTCGCTCCAGTGTAGCTTTTGAGCCAGCTCAAAGACACCAAGTGCAATCGTCTTTCACTTGCTCATGGCATGAAATAAAATAAAAAAAGTACAAACAACTAGGAGTTAAGGAGGAAAAAGGTAAGCAGAGTGATGACTATATTGGGGCAGGTGAGAGATGGAAAGTAGATAAAGGGTCCCCCAAACAAAGTAAGGCAACACTTGGCTGAAAACACCATCTATCTATGCATCCATTCCTGTGCCTATATAAAAGAGGAAACTATGCCTCCACTAATTTCTTCTCACAGGTGCCCTCTAATTCCCTCCTTCCATGAAGCAAATGGCAGCTTTGCTCTTTAAAAAGTTATTTTAAATCAGGAACACAATGCAGAGGAAAAGGTTAAAAAGCCTACTCTCCAACTGCCATAGCCCTAATCCTATTCCCCACACACCCAGGCGTGGAACCTCTGTGATTACGGGCTCTCGCCCTTTGTCTAGCTTTGTTTTAGGATTACACAGGAAAGCATTTGAGTCCTTGTTGGTGTTTGCCTTGCACAGGGGTCAGCAAACTAAGGTCTGCGGGAGGGATCAGGCCCAACTGCCTTCAGGATCTGGCCCGTGGACTGTCCGTGGATCGGCGTGGGGATTCTGTTTGTTTGGGTTGCGCCATTTTTTTCTGCGCCATTTCCACCCCCTCTGCCTTACACACATCGCAGCTGCACCTCCTCCCTCCCTCCTCCTGGCTTCTCCCCGCCCTGCCTATAGAAGGAAGGGGGCTGGGCTGAGCTGGCTGAGCGCCATTTTAAGCAGCCCCTCTCCGGAGCCAGCCTTTTTGCGCTACTCATCTTCCCTCCGCCGTCGTCACCACCGCCCTGGTGCTCCTGTCTGCCTCCCCATGAGAAGCAGCAGCAGCAGCGGCGGTGGTGGCAGCCCCTGGGAAGGTAAGCGCAGCAGCTGGGGCTGGGGGCTGGGGAGGAGGACTACTTGCCCCCCTCGCCTCTTCTTCCAGCTTCCCCCCCGGTGCCGCTACTCCAGCCCGTCACAAGGTCTGAGGGACAGTGCACCAGCCCGCGGCTAAAAGGTTTTTGCTGACCCCTGGTCTTGCAACACCTACTACATTTTTTCAGTTAAAGATACTGTTAAGCACCGACAGCATTGGAAACACAACATTGGCGGATGAAAGAAATTAAACAAAATGAATGCACCCTCTTCAGCTATATGAGGGCGGGGAATGGAAAACCCTCCCTCCTCAAATATTGTGCCTTAGTAGAGGACTGGTTTGAGCCAAATGGCCTGAAGTCATCAAGAAAAGACAGAACTCAACCTGCCCACTAATGAATGCCCTGGTATGTTTTTGGAACCTGTTTCACACTTGTGGGATTTCCTTCACTTGGAGACTCGCCAAAAGCTAAGAACATTTTCGGAAACAGAAGACTGTATCATTTCAGTTGACTTCTACATGTCAACAAGGAAAACATTTTAATGACTCATATTTTATACATTAAGTGCAAATGTTTGGTCAACCAGAACAAACCTGTAAGAAACCTGTGGCTTAAAAAAATAAAAATAAACATCACGTAACGTTTAAGCAGAACACCAGTTTTAATTCTACACTTGATTTAGGCTAATCTCTCTTAGATCAACCAAGCCAAAGTACTATGGAGACTGAAACGTACAGAAAGACTTTGCAAAGGCACCCAAACTACTGTGAGCAGATATTAATCTGCATGCCATCAATATTCCAGGCCATGAACGACTAGAGCTAAT